ATGTGTTGTGAAATATGTGTGTGTGTGTGAATATGTGTATGTGGTGTGAATAGTGTGTGTGTGAATATGTGTGTGTGTATGGTGGTATAGGTGTTGTGTTGGTTGCGTGTGTATGAATATGTGTGTGAATGATGTGTTATGTGTATTGTGTGCTGTGTGTGAATATGTGTATGGTGTGTGATGTGTGTGTGTTGTGTGTGGGATGTGGTGTGTTGTGTGTGGATGTTATGTGTGTGTGTGTGTGGTGTGTATGTGTGTGTGGATGTGTGTGTGATATGTGTGTGTGAATGTAGAGTGTGTGTGATGTGTGTGTGTGTGATGTGGATGTGTGTGTGTGGATGTGATGTGGTGTGGATATGTGTGTGTGAATATGTGTGTGGATATGTGTTGTGTGAATATGTGTGGATGTATGTGTGTGGATATGTGTGTGTGTGTGTGGTTGTGTGTGATGTGTGTGTGTGAATGTGTGTGTGTGATGTGTGTGGATTGTGTGTGAGTGGTGATGGTGTGTGGTGTGGATGTGTGTGTGGTGATGTGTGGTTGTTGAATGTGGTGGAGGTTGGATGTGGTTGTATGCCAGATGTATGGTGTAGTGGATGTGTGTGGATGTGTGTGTTGTGTTGTGTGAGGTGGAATGTGTGTGGTTGTGTGTGGATGTGATGTGGTGTGAGTGGATAAGTGTGTTATTGTAATGTGTGGATGGTGTGTATGTGAGTATGTATGTAGGATATGGTGTGTGGATATGTGTGTTGATGTGTAATGTGTGTGTGTTAGTGTGTGTTGTGTGGTGTGTAGTGTGTGTGTGAGGTGTGTGTAGTGTGTGTGTGTGATTGTGGTGTGATGGATGTTGTGGTGATGGATGTTGAGGTGGTTGTGTATGTGTGTGTTAATGTGTGGTGTGTGGTGTGTGTGTGTGTGGTGTGTGTGGATTGTGTGTGTGTGTGACATATGTGTGTGAGTGAGGTGTGTGGTATGTGTGTGTGGTGTGTGTGTGGAGTTGATGGTGTGTGTGTGTATGATGTGTAGTGTGTATGATGGTGATGGAGTGGTTGATGTAGTGTGTGTGTGTGTGTGTTGTAATAATGTAGTCGTGTTGAAAATAATGTGTGTATTGAATATTGTGTGTGAATTAATGTGTATAGGTGTGTGCAATATCGTGTATGTACGTGTGAATATGATGTGTGTCGAATATTGTGAGTAGTATGTGAATATTTGTGGTGTTGTGGAGATATGCTTGTATGTTGAATAATAGGCGTGGTGGTGTGATATTAGCGTGTGAGGTGTGAATATGTGTGTGTGAAATGTGTGTGTGTGTAGAATTATGTGTATGTGGTGTGTGATGTGTGAATATGTTATGGTATTGTGGATGTTTGTGTGTGGATTTGATGTGTGGATGTGAGATGTGTGCTGGTGGAATGATTGTATATGTGTGTATGGGATGTGTATGTGAGTGTGGATGTGTGGTTGGTGAAATATGTAGTGTGTGGAAATGTAGATTAGTGTAGTGTGTCGTGGATTGTGAGAATGTAGATGTTAGGATGTGGATGTGTAGTTAGTGAATGTGTGATGTTGTAGTGAATAGTGGTATATGTGTGTGTTAGGGATATGTTGATGTTAGTGAATATGTATGTGGTTAATGTAATGTTGTATGTAGGATTAATGCTGATGTTAGGATAGTGTGATGTTGATGGATGTAGTGTTGATGGATAGTTGTAGTAGGTGTGGATAGTTGTAGTGATGGATGTGGTGTGATGTGTTGATGTGTGTGGGGTTGATGATGTGTGTGCAGATGTGGATGTGTGGATGAGTGGTATGTGTGATGGATGTGTGTAGTAGTGTGGGATGTGATGTGTGTGGTGTGGATTATTGTATGTGTGTGTTGATGGATGTGTGTGTTATGTGTGGATAGTGTGTGTGTGTGATGTGTGGATATGTGTAGTTGATAATGATGTGTATGGTTGTATGTATGATTGTGTGTAGTGTGTGGAATGTTGTATGTGTGGATGTGTGTGTAGGATGTAGTTGTAGTGGATGTGTGTGTGTGGATGTGGATGTGTGTGTGTGTGTGTGGGTGTGTGGTGTGTGTGGAATTGTGTGTGGATGTGTGTGTGTGGATGTGTGTGTGTGGTATGTGTGTGTATTGTGTGTGTGGGATGTGGTGTGTGGTATGTGTTGTGTGTGTTGTTATGAGTGTGGTTGGTGTGTGTGTGGTGTGTGTGTGTGTGTGTGTGTGTGATGTGTTATGTGTGGAGTGTGTGGGATGTGTTGGTGTGTGTGTGTGTGTGTGTGTGTATGTAGTGTTGTGTGTGTGTGTGTGTGTGTGTGATGTGTGTGTGCATTGTGATGTGGTGTGCATGTGTGTGGTAGTGTAGCATAGTGTGTGTGGTGTGTGTTAGATTGTGTGTGTAGTGTAGTGATGATGTGTTGTGTGTTGTGTGTTGTGTTGTGAGTGTGAGTTATGTGTGTGTGTGTGTGTGTGTGGTATTGTGTGTGGTGGTATTAGAGTGTGTGGATGTGTGTGTGTGATGGATGTGATGTGACCGTGGATGAGTGGTGATGTGTTGTGTAGTTGTGGATGTGTGTGTTGTTGTTAGGTATGTGTGTGTGTGTGGAAGTTGATGTGTGTGGTTATATGTATTGTGTGTATGTTGTGGATCGTATGTGGGTGTGTGGATTAGGAATGTTTATATTTGATGTGTGTTGGACATTAGTATATTGTATTGTGGTGTTGAGTTGTGGATGTGTTGTGAGTTAAGTTAAGATAGTGTGTGGAGTTAGTGATAGTGATTAGTAAATGCTAGTGGTGTTGTGTGGATGTGAGTGTTTAGGGTATTGATGTGTTATGTTGAGATGTATTGTGTGTGGATGTAATGTTGTGTGTGATGTATGTGTTGTGTGGATGTATGATGGTGTGTGTGGGATGTGTGTGTGAAGTGTGTTTATGGATTGTATGTTGGTAAGTGTGTGGATGTGTGTTGATGTGTGATTTTATAGTAGGATAATAGTAGTGTGTTGTGTGGATGTGTGTGTGTGAGAGGGGAGGGGAGTAGTATTGATGGTTGATTGTGTGTGTGTGATTCATAATGTGTGTAGATCGTTGTGTGATGTTGAATCTTGAATATGCTAGTGTGTAGACCTGAGTGCTATGACAATGTGACACACCCAATGCTCTACATACATCACTATAACTGGCTGTGGCTGATTCTGTGTCGGACAGTACGACTAATCACAATCACTAGCAATCGTGATTAAGTGCACATAGGGGATATATGTCTGATGCATTATCGATACTATGTACATGAGCTTAGCTTACATAGGACGCAATCACATACTACTGTTGTGGTGATGGTTGGGTCTGGGTTGGTCCTGTGTGTGTGGGTCTTGTGGGGCTTGTATCTGTGTGTGTGTTGTGTGGTGGGGCAAGGTTGTGGTGTGTGTCGTGTGGTGTGGGTGTGTGGGTGTTGGGTTGATTGTAGTGTTTGTGCTACTGTGTGAGTAGTGTAGGTTGGAAAAAATTATTAAACATGGTGAACATTGAATATCGTATTCCCATTATATTGCTAGATGCTATTCATAACGTCGCAATGGGACTGAGATTACGTATGCATACATAGTGACATACATCAATGACAAATGTAACGCTTGGCTAATCCACATCTGCACATCAATAACCAACTAGAATATTTGCCACAATTGTAAGTGGAGTGAATAAAATGCTTAACCTACACACATTATGTGCTGTGGAGGTATCTAGCTTATGATATACACGTGTCTGTGAACTCGAGAACTGCTTCCACATTACACAACATCCTTGTCGAATTCAACTGACTAACGTAAGAATTATATTGCATTTCAAACAACCTTACATTAGATATTACTAATGCATGCTAAACAGGTATGGACATATAACATGCAACATAGTAAGAGAAAGCGAGCATACGACTAAAACGAAGCACTGGATTGTGTTATGCAACCAACTGTTAGAGACAGATTTGCACAATCATTCAATCTTAGGTAATGCCAACCTCGACACTTTGTCAACTGATCCTATCGCTTACAGTCAACTTATGAACAAATGAGATATAGCAAACAAACTTCGTTATCGTACAAATAAAATTAAGTAATATGCTATGTTTGCATCAGAGTAGAAAGTCTGAGCAATAAACATATATTAATCAATATATTATCTAGAAAGAGGTGTCAATGAAGAGAGAAGAGATTAGGAGCATAGTGCAAGGCAGATGAGCAGCAGAAGGAGGATTAACCAATGAAAATTAACAGAAACAATAACAATTTCTCACATCCTTCGTAACGCTCACCATCGAGTGACCATGGTGATTTCTGTTGCGGGAAGCAGCCGTACAGGGACACTCAGGACTTCTGTGCTTAGGCGGATATATGCGTATATGCTCGCTCCTATCCATCCCGCCTAGAACCCTTTCCACTCCTTCATCCCCGTCCCTCCCTCACACCTCTCTCGCATACTGGTCACTTTCTTCACTACACTATCTCATATCCTTACGTCTCTGCAACTCATACTTGCACTCACTCAAGCATCCTCACTCATTACAACAATCACTCAGACATCTTGACACACTCTCAGACGTTAACACCACTCGTCTCTTCCTCTACTCTCCTACGTTCTGTTTCTTCAAACTGCACAGACCCACACGTGCACACCAACTATAAACTCATGGCTATTCATCATTCTACATTTGAGGCAACGGCACATTTATAAAAACCTCTTTTCAACATGGACTTATCACTAGCAAGTCCAAACAACCAATGCAGTGACAGCTACTCATCCCTTTATGCCCACCAGATTTTACAGGTAGACGAGTATGTAAATGATGATATTGGAATTCTGAAAGACGCGACTAAAACTCACTTTCTATTCAGATCACTACACAGCTCCCCTGAAAATCTGGCAACTCCATCAAGCAAGACTAGGTGGCAAGCAACATCTGATCCTCAGGGGAACAGCACTCCAGCAAGGGGAG